GAGGGCGGAGCCGACACAGATCAGAGGCTCTGGTTAACACCGTCAGTGGATATTGACCATCTACACATTAGGCGAAATATTCCAGGTCATAAAAGCTGTTTGCGCAGTTCTAGTCACTGAAGCAAAGGGGTCGAAGACGCTACTTTTTGCGTTAGAACGAATATAAACTACTTCAGTTCAAATTACTGAGGGAATATAGGCATGAACGCCGTTCTTTATTCTAAAATACCACCTGGAAATCGCATTTTTCTTACTCTCTATACACTAACCAATCACCATCATAACTGCTGACTCACGCTTATCGATCCGCCTCATGCCCCTGGTTGGTTAGCTGCTGGAGCCACCCGCGTCTTGGAACCGACCACGTAATTGTCAGGACAGCCGTGCAGAAGATGTGTCATTCCCCTGATTGGTTGCCGGCGACAGGGGATGCAGAGCAGACACCGGACACAACTCGCCTGAAAATTAACATAGCGACGACTGCTTGCAGAGCCCTCTGGGAGCTTTTTCGCTCAGTAAACGCTGTTCAACCTCATCTGTCTTCCCTGACTTCTGATTTGGCAAACCTTCATGCTGTCGACTTTACAACTCTGATAGCATTACTGCCTAGCCACTACCCTCTGATTGGCCCATACACAAGACCGGCCGTGATACAACGAGGCAGACACATCCAGTTATTTTAAGGTTGCGAAAATCCCCATCACAGAAATCTGAAGAGTAATTGGCGAGCATACGTATACTTTCAATAAATTCTCATCAGGCCACTACATCACATCCAGTTGTTTCGTGATTGTCACCAATCTTCAGTATGAATGGGCATTTACCCGCGGCTTTCCGGTCCCTCAATTACGTGAACTCTGATCAAGCTTTAAGTACTCGGCCACTTTCGCAGTGCCTCCTTCTCACTTAGTTGCACACATATATATCGTATCTACTAGGTTAGATTGGTTAAAGTAAACCGAACGAGAACCACGAGTGACTCCACTGGGTAGTGATTACCTGTATAACCTCATCCGGCAGAAAATGCATAAAGGAATGCAAACAGAAACGAGGGGAGGGGGAGTTACCTCGGCCACCAGCGAGGATGTGATTTGTGAGCATTGTATGCCGACCGATCCAGGATCTGCGCTCTAGAGCAGCTGCTCGAATCCCCTCCATGTCACTGAAGACAACAATAAAGTTTCCGCAAAGGCGAAAGCTCACTGTTGGTCCATACTTGGCGTGGAGTTTCTGTAGCTCGTTAAAGGCATTATTACCTGTACGGATAGGAACAATGAAAGAAGGCAAACGAAATTCAATAAAACTAGGAAATATCATTGAATCAGAAAAGTAGAGTTGAGAGAACCTCTTGATTCAGTTGTCGTCGTCAGACGCTGATTCTCGAATCACAGGCCAAGATACGTATATGTGCTCATCGGTAATTGATAATAAAGCCAATCTGGTATGAAGTGAGGGTCACTAAC